CTATAACGCCTAGACTCATTACTAAATATTACGAAATTAAATAAACCCTAAGACTTCACAAAAATACATGAAAAACAACTAGATTATAGGTAATGTTTACTATACAATGATATACATTTATAAACATTTATATATACATGAAATATTAATGTTCTTTTCATATTTACATACTTTCTCTTTCTGGGATATATTCCTGAGCCTGCACTCCTATATATCTCCTGGTCGAGGTCGAACAACCCAACATTTTAACTGAAATGACCATTTAAGTAGATTCAAACTCAAATTCCATGAACGATCCGATGCTACCATTTGAAAACGCTGGCCAACATTCTGTACAAGGAATATTCTTGGTCTGAAATAAAGAAGCAACTGGTTTTCAAACAGTTTTCAATGTATTACTCAACTTACATGTACAGTCTGCCATGCTGACACAAATGGCGCCAATGGGTAGTTCTAGAATCGACCTCGGCCCCATTTGATGCAGTAAAACAATCCAACATGACCTAATTTAGTTTTCGTATCCACGATCAAATTTCTTCCTTGTTATAAAACTACGATTAGACTGCTGAAGAAATTGGAATAAATATATCAATGATCTCAACATTATATATCAATGAACATTAACGTGCATTTTCCTCTCTAACAGGAAATATCCACTTTTGTGAATAATTCGTTTGGGAAACCTGATCTTCCTATCCGGCGAATTTTATTCAACCATTTCTTCTTCACCGAGCCTGTGTTTGGTACTTCCCACTGTCTCGAACTACTGCCTAAGCTTCAGGTGCTACTTCTGTAGCAACATCCCCCTCACTCTTTCAAATATACAGGACTTGTTGGTCTGTTACGTGATTGTTGTGAAGCCGAATAACCCGAAAGTTACAGGTAAAGTCAAAAGCTTTTACTTATACACTTTATCTTTCTGTTCTGTGCTTTCTACTGTCTTTTGCCGTCAGTCTATTGGACAAAACTCCACTGTCTCTTATCATTTAATCATCGGTATTATTTTAGGAGTAAAATCACTATAGATTCTCACCACAAGATAAGCAATGGGAGACCATACACCGTAGTCACCAGAGCTTCAGCCAAATTAAGCAAACAGGTGGTGATGGAATCTCGCATACCGGTCTTGAAGACGAGGGTAAATATCCCCTGCGTGAACAGATTGTCCATGTCGCCGCAGTCCTACAGTGAAACTGTGAAAAGTCAGCTAAGCGGATGTGGCTCCATCCCTGTTAACACGACTAAGTTAATAGAGGCGAGTGATAAATCTGCACAAAGTGGGAATAGTATGACACCTATATCCACAGTAGGCCTTGAAACAAACAGGAAGGCCAATAAGAAACGTTCACGACGTCGCAAGACGACGAAAACGTTCCCCAAGAAGGCAGACGATTGCAAGGTCTGCAATTCTATTGTCGAACAAGCAGACTCTGCTTTCGAATGTAATTTTTGTAAGCAATGGGTACATTGTAGATGTGACACTGGAGTACCAAAGGTATATTACGATTTTATGCGTAAGAACCCATGCCCATGGTTCTGTTACATATGCCCAAGTTGCCGTCCTAATGCAGCCTCGTGTAGTTCCTCGAAAGCTACAGATGGCATAGAGATATCAGGAAAAAACGTGAAACGTTTTACTCCCACCAACTCAGAAAACAGCACAATTGCATGTAAATCGGAGATACCAAAATCCACACCGGTTATACTTGCAATTCCTGCCATAACTGCCCCAGACACAGAGGTTGAAGCACCAAGGGTACCTGTCACTGGGAAAAGACCCTCACCGTCCACCAGTAAAAGTGGCCACAGCACTGCGACACATAATAATACCCAGTTGCACCAGACGAAACAAAACGGTCTTAAAGGGGATGACAAATGTGCGAGGACCGAAACTAAATCCACGGTTAGCCGATCAAACTGCGTTATCCTCTTTAATGTACCAGACTGTAGCAGTAGTCTGCTGGAAAACAGGGTCCTGTTTGATCAGGAACAGTGGTCCAACTTATGTAGCACACTGGGTCTGGACATCCAACTAGTAAAACTGTGCAGATTGTATAAGGGCACTGCTGCTCCTCAAGGCAAACCATCCCCACTGAGGGTAACACTAGGCTCTGCCGAAGATGCCGAAAAAGTTTTATTGACTTCCCAAGTCCTTTCTATAGGGAGGACCTGCAATATACGTGTTAGGCCAGATAGGCCATGGAAGGAAAGACAGATGGCGAGGGAGTCGCCAGAGCTTATTCCTTCTGCCTCCATGGTTGTTCACGGCATTCCCGAACTGGGAACTGGGAACGCCTGTGAGAAGCACTGTCACGATGTACAGCAATGGAGATGGTTGGTATCCCAGATGGGTCTGGGAAGTTCAGGGGCTGTCTCTATTTTTAGACTGCCTCGACCCACTCACCTAATGTCAATTAACACCCCACGTCTGTTAGCTGTTAAGTTCAGCTCGCGAGACCACTTGACTGCTGCTCTCCATAGATGGTACGAGACCAAGGACAAGGTCAGCAGACACATTCGCTGCTGCGAGAGCCGGCCTCGTACCCAAAGGAGAGAACAAAACGTTGTCATAGAACATCCCAAACCCCTAGTCACAATACAGCGGTGCAGCACGGACGATGATAGCCAGTGTCATCCAAGTGCTCCGATTGAATCAGAAGAAAAAAACGCCAACAGGCCGGTTCCCGGGAAATCGGCCAACTAGTTCGTAGGATAACTCCTCAACCGACAGCCCACATCACGTCAACCACCCCCCAATACGGGGACGTGGTGAGACTGACTACCAGTTGCCTGTACAGAATCCTGCACCAAAGTCAACCACATCCGATCATTCTGGTACACCTCGGCATCAGGGGTTCCTCAGGGTTCTATCTTAGGGCCGTTGATGTTTTTGATTTTTATCAACGACCTGCCCTTTCAACTGAATTGCTCTGCACTTCTTTACGCTGATGACGTAAAGATTTGGAGAGCAATAAACTCATCGGAAGACTCCAACAGATTGCAGGCTGACCTGCAAACTCTGGGAGACTGGGCTCTGGCTAACGGAATGCCTTTCAACTTAAAGAAGTGCAAAGTAGTGCAACTTCATTCCGGCAGGTCACAGAGTGCAAATTACACCCTTGGTGGCCAGAACTTGAGTTGTGTGCCATCGGAACGCGATCTAGGCCTTATTTTAACAGAAAAGCTAGACACCAGTGTAAATTACACGAGGGACGTCGCCAAAGCTTACGCCACTTTACACTTTATGCATAGGCAGCTGGGAGCTCTTACTCCTGAACTATTCCTAACGTTGTATACGACATAAGTGAGGCCACTCCTTGAGGTGCATAATATCATTGCTCCTCCGCTACTCAAAAGGGATGCTAACATGCTAGAAAGTGTCCAGAGACGAGCGACAAAATGGGTGATCGGCCTCCGCAACAAATCATATGAGGAAAGACTGAAGAAATTAAGTCTTTTCACACTTAGTTACCGTAGTCACAGGGGAGCCTTCATCACCGTCTATAAGATCTTAAATGACCAGGCCCATCCTAATAAGAGCATCCTGCCATTAAGTGATTATAGGCTTCCACGAGGTAACCCGCTAAGGATAGCACACCAGAGACCAAGGACTCGAGTGCGTTCACATTTCTTCTCGCTTCGAGTTTGCCGTCTCTGGAACGCTTTACCGGCGGCCGTAACTACAACTCCATCTATGGAGACTTTTAAGCGGAAGCTGGACAATCATGCAGAAATGCAAGGTTTGTGTCTCAATGGCTTACCCTCTTAAAATTCGAAACCACATTGTCAATGGATAAGCATACAAGCTAAATCCCCACGACCCGTCCTGTCTTCTCCCACTGTACCGACTACTCTATCTTTTCTTTCTTTCTTCATTATTTCACCTTTATTATTTCACTTATCTCAACCTATATTATCTACACTACAACCTATTATTATTACTGTTCTACTTTTATGACTATACCGAATGACCAACGGGTGTTAGGTCAAACTCCATTCACGGCAGCAGCTGAGTCCTAACATACTGCACACTACAAACCACAATCTTGACCAATCCTCGCACCACTCCTCTTGGAGTCTACCAGAGCTAAAGCAGTCGAGTGGCGGGATTTACTACGCATAAGTTCACCGAAGATCTGGAACCTCTACCTTACAATTAAGAAGCGAGCTCAAAGAAATCACTGGTTTATACTAGCTCGTAATCAGGATATTGGATATTGAACTCAAGGATGCTGTTCACAACAAAGTTATATAGGAGAATTGACTTCAAGCTTTATTGTTCCCAGATATTTGTATTACATTCATCTGATGTCTGGGTTTTTTGTTAATGCGAAGACAATATTTCTATATCTCTTTATGTGTTACACAGACAGACTATTTTGCAGACTGTTCCGACTGACTCTAATGTCAGAAAGAACAAACAAACTGTAAATTTAACATACATCGAAACATGTGTAATTTATATAATAACTTATCCATGCCTGTACAGTTGGTATGTTCCTGCATAAACAGGAATATATATATATAATGTTAATTAAATAGGATATCAGGAAAGAACAAAGCTAAGGAGGAGATTTATCGTTAAGATCAGGTTATGTCATCGAGTAGTTAACTCTTGGAATCAACTTATGGAAGTCTGGAGTAGAATAAAAACGTACTGAGAAGACTTCAAACGTACTACTGTCCACAAAAATTCCAAACTTTAATTCCATCGACTATTCATGAACTGCACTATAAGGCTTTCGATAGAAACAAAACTGTTGCTGCAAAGAAGCCATTCAAGAATAACGGCTATTGATGTGAGGGCGGAAATAAATAATTTCTAGAGTATTGTGTCTGAAAATTAAGATTTGAAGGTTAATAGCATGCACTTGAATATTGAGCTTGTTTTTGGGCGTTATGCGCAATATAAATAGTTGTGTTTACTCGTATCTCTTTGCCTTTTGGAGAAAAGCTGGCTGTCTTAGGCTGTTGTGTGTAAATTTCCTTCGATTTACGATATGGAGTTTGTGATAGCATTCAATAATGAAGTGAGTTGCGCTTCATACTAATTACTGTGTATAGTTGAGATCATTATCAGACTCAGATATACCACTTTCCAAGGCTAAAATGGCTTCAATAACAAGGGCTGCCATGAAAGCATTAAAGTTTTACAAACATATTGTACAAATGGTCGAAAAGTTTATAGCAAAATGCCCACCGCAGTTCAAACTTCCTGGACTTTACATTATTGACTCCATTGTTAGACACTCTAAACACTTTTATCGAGAAAAAGATGTTTACGGGCCCAGATTTTTACGAAACTTGGTATCCGTTTTCATCTCTGTTTTGCAATGTGATGAGAAAGACAAGCCAATGGTATCTCACTTACTATACTTATGGGAGAGTTCTTTCGTCTTCCCAAAAGAAGTATTATATGCTTTAAAGGATATTAAAACAGATCCAGAAAACCCGCAAGTCATAGAAAAAGGTAAGACATTACATCATCTGACTATTGTTTTAGCCGAGGAAGTTGTCCGTGAAGCTCTGCTTAAGTTGTCAAATCATAATGTAGCAGATCCTACAATGCAGTTGCTTCCTCCACGAAATCACTCAGTTTTAAATAATAATAGCACTCCAAAAATGTACAGTATGGCTCCTTTTGAGGATGCTGACAAGTGCACTAGAAAAAGCTCGAGTGCAAGGGTCCAGTTACTTCAGTTACAAGTAGGTCTAACTTAGAATTCAGTACTTTTTATTTTGTCACATTAACGACCGCCATATAATTCACGTCAGTGTAGATTATTATTATTATTATTATATCCTTTAATTCCTAGAGGAACATACGGCTTCAGCCGTGCGTCTCCATTGCGTTCGGTTCTCTGCTAGAGTCTTCACGTGGCTCCATGTCTGCCCACACGTTTTCATCTCCTCTCCACATCACCTCCTCCAAGTCACTCTCACACTGACGACCATCTCGCCGCTTCCCTTTCGGGTTCCACTCAAGGGCTTGTCTAGTGATGTCACTTGATGGTTTCCTCAGAGTATGACCAATCCACTTCCATTTCTTCCTGCCTATTTGTTTCACAATTGGTTCCTGCTGTGTTGGTTCGCTCATTGCCAGAGATCCCTGTTGCTGATCTTTTCTGGCCATCTGATCTTGAGTATTGAGCGAAGACAACTATTAACGAAGGTCTGAAGTTTGTTTGAGATGCTCTTTATGACGCGCTAGCCAAGTCTCTGACCCTTCCGTATAGTAGCACTGACTGACTTCACATTAGAGTTGAAAATCCGGATCTTATTTTTGATGCTGAGTGTTGTTGACGTCCACACAGACTTGAGAGTAGTGAAAGCTTGTCTTGCTTTTCCGATTCTCGCTGCTTTGATATCCTCGTCAGTTCCGCCTGTAGTTGAAACGATGCATTCCAGGTCGGTAGGTAAAGGAGGTTGTTTCTTTCAGGTTCCTTCCATTTATGCTGATTGTTGTCAGTGTGGGTGTCTGTAATTAATATTTATTTTAGGTCTTCTGAGAGGCTCATATAACAATTACGCACGATATTTAAGCTCAGTTCTGAAGAGATTTTTCGATCGCATTCACTTGCTGAATGGTCAAAAAATTTAACATTTAAATATTGCTGCGGGGTCCGGTCATCTTAATGCTGACTCCCATGGGAAGCGTAGTTACCTCCTTAAACCATGAAAATGCAACTAAATAACAAAACAGTATGTAGTAGCAGACCACAGAACCAGTTGCTTCTCGAATGATTCAGTTCATGACACAATGCTTCGTGTAGTAGTCCTACATCGACAAACGTCATCCTGTGCATAATTCATGCCTTAATCTACGACTGATCTTCATTACTGAATTTTTACAAAGATTTTGGCTTCTTAGTTGTTCTTTGTCTATCCATGTATTACTATTATTAGTATTATTATTACCCGTAGATCACATTTCTAGTAGGGCTTAAGGTTTCAGCAGTACATTTTACTCTCCAGTCATTTCCAAACGTGTTCTACGGGCATCCAGAAACTTTCACGTCCTGGCATGATCTAGATATTATCAGTCAGACCCCCCAACCTATCGTCTCCATCCTGGTTTCACCCTGGCGTGTGACGTCATTTGGCTTTCTCTTTTTGTGTAAGATGGTGCTTTGAGACTCACCTTCATTTACCCTTGGTCTAAGAATGGATCCAGTAAGCTCGTATGGCAATTGCCAATTTGCTTCTATATATACGACTGTCAATCAAACGAGGTGTCTACCCTCACAACAGTTTGTTGCTACATTTGGCGAGACATGGTCGTCAGTGTTGGAGAATTTGACAGCACTAGAGGTCTTTGAACATGCGTCTTTGGGTTCTAATTGTTTCATTATGTGTAGTATTTTGTGATCAGTCATTGTTAGGTCAGATTTAGTGTTAAGTAGATCAGTTGACGAGGTTGTGAAGCTGCACCTAGTTCTGTTGGGGGTCTGGCAGGTGAGAACCGGAGCGTTACACACACCAACTTACGCCATCCTTCGTACCACTGTGATGTCAGCTGACCTGTCAAAGGTTAGGTTTATAACGCTTCCGTGTGCAGAATCTTGCTTTATGCTCGCGAAGCCTGGTCTTTACTATCCGAAGATATACAATCACTCTGCTTGTTATATCACCGCGGTCTTGCATCTAGTGTAGTCATTATGTAAGTAATTTAACTCCTGTGGCGTATGTTTGGCTGTTATGGAGTTCATCTTCCAGCAAAAGTTATGTGATCATGGACCCCGACTCTAGTGACTTACACACGTGCTACAAATATCATCTCGGAGGCTTATGTGCTGGTAGACGATGGAAAATGCGAAGGGAAAATCAGTCGAGAACTTGGTGCTGTGTTAAAATAGATAGGTTGGTTTTCCATCTGTTGGGGGTCCAAGAGTTAATCCAACAGGGCGACTCGAGACATTTTCAAATGCTACTTGAGACTGGAGTCAGTTCAGAAACATACAGCAACTTAATCCTTTCTTCTTTTTCTGAAAGTAGCATGAACTGGTGAACGCTCCTTTAGATGTCATTGTTTTCATAATTATTATTATTGTTCCATTGGGTTCCTAGTGGAACATAGGGCTTCAAATGCACGCCTCCACTTGCTTCTGTCTTCTGCTGTACTTTTCACTTGCATCCATGTTACTCCATGCTGTTTCAACTCCTCTTCACATGATCTCCTCCATGTCACCCTTGGACATCCCACTACTCGTCGCTTCCCTTTTGGGTTCCACTCGAGCGATGGCGTGACGCGCGATGTCACCCAGCTGCCTCCTCAGCGAGTGTCCAATCCATCTCCACTTTCTCCTGCATATTTGTTGAGCGATTGCTTCTTGTTTCGTTTGTCCCCATAGTTCCTTGTGGGTGATTCTTTCCGGCCATCTGATCTTGAGTATAGAACGAAGACAGCTGTTGATAAAGGTCTGCAACAGGCTGTTGGAAATATTCTTTGTGACCCGCCGCCAAGTGTCTGATCCGTATAGAAGGACTGACTGACTTGACGTTTGTATTGAAAATCCGAATTTTGTTGTTGAGTGTTGCTGAGTGACGAAGATTTCCAGATTGGTTTCAGGTTGATGAATGTGTTTCTCGCCTTTCCGATTCTCGATTTGACATCCTCGTCCGTTCCTCCTGTAGTTGAGACAATGCTCCCTAGCTAGATAAGTGAATGAAGTAACCTCTCAAAATTGTTTTCATAATGGTTATCCTTAATTAGTCTTTTCCTATCTTGTCCATTAATTATTATTTTTTTGTATCGCGTATGTTGTACAAGTTTAAAATAAAATTGCATTTCCTGTGACTGCTTCGCCGACTACAGTTCGTAGTCATTGCTAGAACTTTTAGTTAGTTGGTTATCTTCCCAATTAGGGTGTAACTACATGGGGTCAGCTACGTACGACGTGTGTGTCGAGGCGGATTTTCGTTCGTACAGTAGACATCAGCGGCTATAGACCCCCACTTTGGACTGACTTTCCTAATTCCCCCTCTCCATAGCGCGGGAATGCAACTTAGCTGACAGTTGTAGATTAGTTCCTGAGACTGGAGTTTCTTCAGTTAACTACTCTGCTGAACGTGAAGTCCCTATGCATATTCATACAACATGCGAAGCTCATTCATGTTAATGAGATGTCCTCATTGCCTACTAGGGGAAATATATATATATATATATATATTTCAGTCGAATCATGCACATTGAGTAATCTGATTCGAGTTTAATGTCTAGTGCGATCGATGTACATGTTTTGTTTTTTTCTCAATCAATCAATTTGGTTTTGTTTTTGTTTTTCCAGGCCCTTCAGAAAAAGATCGCTGAACAGTCGGCTTTACTCAACCAAGAGCGAACAATCGATCCTGAAGTGCTTACTCAAATTCATATCCTTATGTCAGAGTTGACTAGACGAGCTGAAGTAGCCGCAGCACAGCTTGCAGATAAAGAAAATGCTGATGAAGATTTAAAGTAGGTGACACTTTTTGCAATGCGATCAATACTTTGTCATAATCAGTATATGTAATGAATTTGTTGATTACTTTTCAGAATTGTGTGTCATGCAATGAGTTTCTGTGTTGCATATGCATACGCTTTGATTGATATTTATTTTGGCCTCCAAAGCCTCAGGATGGTCGGGGGTGGGTGCCTTGCACTGCGGGTCGGCCACCCTTCCGCACACCTCTTGAAATGCTCCCATATGACTGGGCGTCTTACATAGCCTCTCCTAAGGAAGTCCTACTCACTGCCTTCACGTGGCGGAGGTGTTTTTCACCAAAGTGAGAGGGCGAAAGCGGATGCCCGGTGCTCTTCACCGGGTTGACTGTCCATTGGATGACAGTCTAGGGGAGATGGCTAAACCCTGATTCCAAACCTCCAACGACTGGCGTATGAAGCTCACTAGAGCTCACCAGCAGACGTATAGACAAAGGGCTTGTTGGATGTCCTGGATGTTTGGCCCCATTCAAAAAGGCGTATGAACCGAACTCCGGTCACCGGCTGCCAATGGACAGTGGACTCCCTACTCCACTTCTACTGCCTTGTAGGTCACACTTGGTTGTGTAAAGGCTAGAGCTGCACTCTCAAACAAAAGGCCGAGCGATTCTGAGGACATCACTCGTACGAAATTCCCATGAAACTTCATGAACTCTCTTACAAACGACTCTCACCATGCAGCGATGATTCGAGATGTTCATGAAGCCGGCTCATCCTCCCGTAGGAGATAGCCGAAGTAAAGTAGTATATTTATTTTGGGTGGATTGTCCATTTTACTTTCATCTGTAAAAATATACTTCATGTGGAGTTTTCACTGACTAAAACTGGATATATATATATATTTTCCTTCACGTTCCCCAGTGGAACATAGGGCTTCAAGCCAAAGGCTTGAAGTTTCTGTAGCAGTGTTTATTTTTACAGGATGGGGCTGCTAGCCTCATGCCCAATCTTCCCTCTTTGCCAGTTCTATTACTAGCTTAGCGAGGTAAAGGAGTGCGTCCGTGGCCGGCCGGGGATCGAACCCCGGACCATGTGCATGGTCGGCGAGCGTTCTAAACGCTGTGCCACCGACGCCCGCATATATGCATTGATTGATATTTATTTTGGGTGGATTGTCCATTTTACATTCATGTGACTAAAACTGTGGATATATATCTGGTGAAATCTTCTCTATGCACAACTTTTATTTTTTCAATAGCCTGTCTTGTATTTGCGAGAAATTCGGTCGGCATTTTCTCATGTAATTAATTGTTAGGCGGGTTTTTGGGGCTTAACTATTTAGATATAATATTCCGTCAGTTAAAATTATTTAGCTAGCTCTCTGAAATTAGTAGTAGTGGTAGTAGTTCCTCGATTCATTCGTTGCTGATTTTATGATAAATTTGATGACTAATTATTAAAAGAATGGATAGATACTGAACAAAGAATAAATACTCTTTTCGATAACCCCTTCATCATCATTATCATCAGGCTCTACAGTTATATATCCATCCATAATAGTGAATAAATGAATGAATTAGTGTTATGAACAACAACATGAATGTTGCTGTTTAAATGACATCGAATCAATAATATTAATAATACGAATGGATTACAGTTCATTTGCATCAACAAGCCTACGCGACAACGGTTACCCACAAAAATTCATCGACAAGTATGGGAGACGTCATGTTGAAAAAGTGAAAAGCAGCACAGTAGAGAAAAAGCCTATCTGTCTGCAGCTTGCATGCATTCAAAGGTGATGATACTGCTAGTGGAATAAGATGGAGACTGACCGTTGCCCTGAAAAGAATATATCCAGCCGCCAAGCTTGTATGTATTTATCAAACAACTAGTAGTTTTTTGAGACAATCAAAAGTGGACAAATACCCACCTCATGTCACCTCTAATTGTGTCTACCAATTTACATGTACGTGCCAGAGCACATACATTGGAAGAACAGAGAGAAGGGTTATTGTCCGCATTTCTGAACACATACCAAAAAGAACCTGAGACTGAAAGGTTCGCAAGCATTAAACACTGCGATTGCGCGTCATCTATTGGACACTGGTCGTATTGTAGACAACCTGAAATCGTTCAAAATTATCAACAAGCAAAAGAAACCTAGTTTGCTACGCTTTGCTGAAGCAATTGCTATCAAACGACTTAAACGAAATCTATGTGTACGCAGAAAGAGACAGTGGTGAATCTTGCACTGCCCTGGTGACAACAAAATATACAACTTGTATGAGTCACCCTTTTTCTTGTTTAGAAAACTCTACTCTCTCATCTAAACATGACTCACTCTACCTTGTTCTTTTCTTCCCTTTTTCTATTGGTTATTAGATAAAACATTTTCTTTAGTTACGTAACCAACTTTTCTGTTATCTAGTTTATTTTCATAATTGTCTCCAAACTCCTTCACTAGCATCTAATCTTTCTAAACATGTCCATATTACGTAACCCTACTCACATCTTACCAATCTTCACCCCACTTAGTTACAACTTTGAGTATTAATCACACATTTTAACTTCTTCAATATTTTGATGATGTAACTCTACTCACATCTTACCAATCTTCACCCCACTTAGTTACAACTTTGAGTATTAATCACACATTTTAACTTCTTCATTATCTTGATGATATAATCAACAACCCACACTAACTGTTATTTTGATTTTGACAAACCTAATGTACACACACACACACACAAAATAATTGTATATATATTTGCGACTGTACAGCTAAGTGAATGAATTCGCCGAAAAGAGACTCTTCGCTGAACTAATTTGTTCTTATGCTCTTTCTAGCTAAACCTTGTTTCTATACCCATATATATACACGCAACTCTGTTTTTTGTTCCCTAGCCTAATCGTCTAATTATTCTATAAATAGTCAGTGTGTCTGTAACTCTTAATTAGTTAAAACATTCCGGACTAATGTTACTTTTACACTTCCTACCAACCAATTACTCCTTGTGATCGTGGAAAAGTATGTTCAAATCTTTAACTGTAATTCATATATTGTTTTTATCGTTCAGGTTGTAACCAGTTGAGAAGAATCCTCGAAATAATAATAATAAAAAAAGAAATGAGCTCATATAATCTTCTGGTACAATTGTTTTTTTCTTGCTTTCTTCAAGTTTATTCCGTCTGTCTGTCTGGATTCAACATAGAACTCGGCACCGAAGTGCAACAGTTCGAGTTACACGTTCTTAACGGCACACAAAGGTAGACAAAAAAATGAGTGAAGAGAATCAATCAATAGAGTTTTGACAAGTATAAGAGTGAAACAGAATGAGTAATGGTAGAAAGGAATATGAAAGATTACACAAGAGACTGAATACATCTGCGTAAGCCATTGACAACGATTTCGAGCCATGTCACCTATTGTCTGTCTCCAGCCATTGATTGATTCTTAGAGTCTCGAGGGCGGGCCCCAACCAACAGGAAGTCTGCATCTCCCTACCTGACTGACTCAGTTTAACTGTCAAGGATTTCATGGATTGATTGATTGATGCCATTTTTTTGTTTATTAATGGGAAGAGAATTGCATGAAGTATAATACGATGGTTTTTATACGCTTCATATCGTGTTCACCGAAGGCACACATTAATATAATCTTTTTTTGTCTTAAATGATGCTAATAATGTGTATGTCTTTCTTTTCTTATTAAAATAAGGTTCATGTTGTCACTGTTTTGATCGACATTTAAGCATCTAAGGCTTAATTATGTAACAATAGTAGTAGTAGTTATTGTTCCCTTGGGTTCCGAGTGGAACATAGAGGGCTGGTTTCGCCAACACATCTCCACTTTGTTCTACTTTCTGTCATCCTCTTCAGCTGGTGGGGGGGTGCACGATTGCCCAAACTCTCTCTCTCTCATCCCTTCCTCACACCATCTCCTCCATGTCACCCCCCCCCAGCACCGACGACTCACTGATCGCTTCACATTTTTATATTCCACTCGAGTGATGGATGGCCTGCATTGTACGCGATGTCATTTGACTGTCTGTCTGTCTGTCTGTTTTCGGCATAGAACTCTGCACCGATATGCAGCAGTTCAAGTCGCCACACTCCCTCCATGTAGCACACAAAGCAACAGAAGAAAGTAGAAGAAATGCATAACTAAGACTGAACAGAGGTGTGGTGAGACAAAGGAATAGTAATAACGAAGAACACAATATAGTTTCATTGGAAATCATAACTCACAAGGAGTGGATGCATCCGCGATAGCCAGCCAGCCATTGAGAACGATTTTGAGCCATGTCAACAATTGTTTCCAACCTTCATTAGTTTTTACCGTTCCGAGGACCCCAACCAGTCAGGAAGCCAGTCTACACTTCTACGTGGCTTAGACTAACTGTTGTAGATTTCATTGACTGGTGAGGCCATGTTTTGGCTTGACCGCCGCTAGCTTTTTTCCAGCCTGACCCTATATCAGTTAACATTGCCCATTGTCGAGGAAGGCGGTGGCTAGTCATGCATGCGTAACACATGTCCTAACCATCTCAGTCGATGTATTTTCACAGCCTCGTCGACTGATTTCCCCACCTACCTAGCACTCGACCGACACCTAACCTCAATATTGCTCACCTTATTATACCACTTCACACAGGAGATAGAACACAGACAGGCACCTATGATCAAAGACAGCTAGCCAGCCATTTTCATGTCTTCCACTCTCAATGGCCAGGTCTCACAGCCATAAAGGAGGACGGAGCGGACTGCTGAGCAGTACACACGCCCTTTGGTCGATAGTCGCATATCACGTCTACTAAGCCAGAGACGGCGTAAACTGGCGGGCGTATGCTTAACTTGCCCTCTGTGTATCCGTACTCAGCTGAGATTTCGTCAGATATCAGCCCGTTGGCACTGGCTGATGATAGTACCTCCCAAATAAGTGAAGCGGTCAACGTGCTCCACCAACCACTTCACTCCCCATTTTTCTAATCTAGGAGTCATTTGACGACGGCCGACCCCAATGTATGCCCTATCCATCTTCATATTTGTTGAGCGATCGGCTCAACCAATGCTCGATTGGTTGGTTTGTTCCACTGCGCAGTTTCTTGTGTTACTCTAATTCTTTCTTGCCATTTTTGTTTGTTGACCTTTACTCTTTTTTAGTGTTATCGATCCAAATCTTTTGGCACGTATACAATCTATGGTTGATACACTTGCACATACTCGTGCACTACAAGAACAGTTGAATGAAGCGCTTGCAGAACATGAACAACCTTGGCAGCAACAACAACACCAGAAGGAGATGACTGTACGTTCTGCAAATGGCATTGCTATGCAATCGGAAGGTGATACAAGCATGGATAGTAGGAGGGTTAGTTCTATTGTTTACAGAGTGTCACACATTTAATCTTTTTTGTCGTAAGAATCACGCTTAATTCATTTGATCATAAGTTATTCTCTCTTTTGTTTTGCATTTCTCTAATAAATATTAAAAGTCAATCTGAACGAAGAATATTCTTTTCAATGAATCCTTCTCCTATACAGGTTCTTACAATTATAAAATATAACGCATTTGTTGTCGTTACTATAATGATGGCCAGTTAGTTATGCGGAGGATACATTTTTTTCTTAACGTAGAATAACAGATTAGCAGTTATCTGGTGTCAAAATAAATAGTCGTATTTGAGTGTGACAAACGTCGTGCTAGTAGGCTGAAATCGTTGTTAACATTCTGGTTGACAGGCACATGAACTCATGTGAAAAATGGGCCAAATCCATTTTATCTAACTCACACCACCCTCTTCACTCACAACTCTCCCCCTGCATCTCATCAGGTAAAACCAGAAGCCTATATGGGAAACTATATGCTCGCACTAGCAAGTGCAAAAACTCAACCATACCCTACTTAGCTCGTGTTCTGTGTGATAAAGAAAGCATTAGGCGTGACACCTATAATTCATTAAATAGTCAGTAGTACAACTGGATCTCGTCTTTCCAACTCACTTCATCAATAGGTACAACATCTTCTTTCTTTCTTTTCCTTTTCTCTCTCTCATTTTTCCGTTATGTGCTGCTTTGTTTCTTTCTCTCGCTTACGCCAGTAAATACGATAGCACCTACTTTTCTAACACCTTCAAACACTGTTCAGCTTTGGCTTTGCTACCGACATGCCAATGTGTTGTTGTTATAATGAACTGAGACTACCCATAATCTCTGTAGAATTCTATTTATTGATTATGTATTAACTGGATGCAATACTGTAGTAAAAATGCTGAGAATTCCATTCTGTATCACATGTACTGTTTTGGAATAAAGCAAATTATTATTATTATTAATATTGTAAAATGGGGGAGGGAATTAAGTGCATAAAAAGCTCGATCCTGTCACAAGGACTTGGTCGAGACTACTGGACATCGCACTATTGTCAACACAGCTTTCAGGCTTGTATATATCGAATTCCGAAGTCGTTATCACGTACAGTCAGTCAGTCTGCTACACATAGCTGAAGCTGTTGCAATAAGATCGACTAAACCGGAGCTTTTTATTCAAATAGAATACGTCTAGACACTGTTCCTACCGTGGCCAAACTTGGATTGATGATTCTTCTTATCAGCAAGAGTGCTCCTTCCCCTTAACCCTCTTGGCTTTTTTTCCTTTTTTTCTTTTACGTTTTTATTACAATGATTATTATTAAAATTATTATTGTTTTTGCAATTATTATTATTATTATTATTATTATTCATAATTCATACCCTTCATACAAACATTCAATACTATCGAATTTTCCATTTATACTATCCGGACTTATTATTAGTAAGTGATATTATCTCTTTTCTCAATATATGCCTCCACCTGTTCCTTCATTTCACACATTCGTTGTTTCATTATGAACCACCTCTCATTGGAGTCTTGCTATCTCCTCCTGTTTAATACAGACCACATTGTACTAGCCACTCCACTCAATCACCTGACACCTTTTATAACCCCGAATTGACTTACTTGTCAATTTTCCTACCTCACACTCTACAAATCTATTATGACAACTAATCACCACTACCACCACCACCATTGTCTCCCATTTCACCGAAATATTTTGTAATCGATTTCAGCCTACTAGCACGACGTTTGTCACACTCAAATACGACTATTTATTTTGACACCCCATAACTGGTAATCTTTTATTCTACGTTAAGAAAAAAATGTATCCTCCGCATAACTAACTGGCCATCATTATAGTAACGACAACAAATGCGTTATATTTTATAATTGTAAGAACTTGAATAGGAGAAAGATTTATTGAAAAGAATATTCTTCGTTCAGATTGACTTTTAATTCATGCGATATTATGGGAATATTTCACATTATTGATAAATATTAGATGCTCTATGATATCTCTTTACATGCGAACCTCTTTTTTAGATTTTTATGTTTTCTGTTGGTTTAACTTAGATATGATATATTGACACAGATTTTTCAGTTGTGAATTTTAAGTCGGTAGATTTATCTCCACATGGTTTGATAGCCGAACTGATTATGCAATCAGTTACTTGTTTTGATGAATAAAACTCAAATAGGCCAATGACTAGTGGTTGGCCTATTTATCACACACACACACTAGTTGAAAATGGTTAAGTGTCCACTGCTCACCACCACCACCACCCAAAAGCTGTATATTACATAATCTCCCATGGAACAAACCAAAACACACACAATTCAGCTCTCTTTACCAATAAATATAGTGAGTATTGGTTTGTAGGGATTTGATTGATTGGTTACAGGATTTCATCATGACCAGCTGACATTGGTTAGAGAACCACTGGAAAACCTCGGGGTACTGGACAGACGTTTCATCCTAGTTTGGGAATCATCGGCAGTACGCACCCACCCTGCAGGGGGTTCGAACCCAGGACCTTCCGGTTACAAGGCAAGCTAGCTGGTTCGTACGGCATTCAGCCAATGGGACCTGATTCCTCAATGGCCAGTGCGCATGAATTCCAACTTCTACCTATTCGTGATTTAGCTTGACTGGCACCAACCAATGTCATCAGTGGGAAATCCGTCCTCATACTTGACGGATCGGGTCCCAGTGGCTGAATGGTATACGAGCCAGCTTGCCTAGTGACCAGAAGGTCTTGTGTTCGAACCCCACTGTGTTTGGGGTGAGTACTGTGAAGAGTCCCAGACTGGGACGAAACAACTGGCTGTCCAGTACTCCCAGTGGTGGGTTTTCCAATGGTTCTCTAACCAATGTCAGCTGGTCATGATGAAATCCTGTAAGCAAATATCGTGAGTCATAGGCCAGAGCAAAAATATTCATTTGTCAACTTCTTTTCAAAGATGTACAGTTGTCGCATAGTGTTTCAAAAGGTCATGAAAAACGGTCACATAGGTCATTCATGAATACATTTTTTGGTGACACAATATGCAATTACATGTCAGGTAAAAGAGAATGAATTACGTCATCACTTAATATTTTTTAAAATCTTTAATTATTCTAATTATTGATATTTAAACAAGACTGTAAGCGAACAATATTGTTTTCAATTAGATCTTCTTCAGCCTCTACTTTAATTTACATAGATTTATGTATAAAAATTTTAACCAATGACGGTGATTTTGTGGATCAAATAATAATAATAATGTGGTAAATGTTTTGAACGTAATTAATAACTATGATTATAATGATAACAAAATATTGATAATAAGGTTTATGCAGGTGGCGATAAGAATAACGAAGGTAGTAATATGTGTATATGTAGACAATTCAATATATAAATAAATTAGGTCAAATCTTAAAAGTTACGTAATACTAAAGGTGGGTAAAGTGGACAGATAATCAGAGTTTAAATAAATATCATAAAAGTACGAAGGAAATGGAAAATAAGAAAGGGTGCGTGGAAGGGTTTTGAATACAATTCACCTTGGCTAAGCAAGGGAGAGACAAAGGTAGAACAAACTTCTTTTGTCGTATGCAAAGAGACTAGGACTGTTCCCTCGAATTCCCATTGCTTCGGGTATGGGTAAAAGTTGGGGTCAAAAGGCTCGTTGGAATGTGATAGATAACTTTGAAGGCATTATTTTTGTCCACTTGGTGACCGCTATCATCAATCAAATGAGCCAAAATGGAACCGTTTATAGATTTTATTTGACCTTTTTCGAACCATGAAGGAAGATGCTCATTAATGCGTTTGTCAAGCTGTCTAGTTGTTCGCCCTATTTAGCCAGCTCTGTCCACAGGAGCAACTAAATTTGTAGATACACATCGAAGTGGCACAGCTAACTAGGTAGCTTGTCTTTCACTTGAGCAATCATAATTGGTCGGCAACTGGAAAATGACAAACAAAGTGTGGTGGCGGCAGTATAAGTCCGTTTTATTGCTCTCGATAATCTTGGATGTAAGACTTCGCTAGCCACGTGCCCATTAAATTTCAATTTTAGGAACAGTTGTTTCTTTTTAACTGTTGTCAGTTTCTCTTTATTGTACCTGGTGTTCATGTGTCTCCTTGCAAATCTACTAGGAAAACTCATTTGGACCAGCGTATTTTGGATGTATCCTAATTCATTTTCTAGGGAGTCATCTGTACAGATACGTCTTGCTCTATTGGTGAGGCATCTGACCAAATTGATTTTGTATCGGATTGGTATAAAACTGAGGAAATGTCTATATTGTCCTACAGATGTAAGTTTTCTGTTCTGCTCAATTGGACATCAAGGAAATGTAGTCTACCATCATGTTCTTCTTCATAAGTGAAGATGAGCGATGGATGTGCATCATTAAATTTTATTAACATTTCATTCTTGTCAGCATTCTTCTCACCAAGGATAATAAACGTATCATCAACATAACGAAAATAAGAATCGGTTTTATCTATTACTTGTTTCAATGGACCATTTTCAAGCTTAGTAAGGAAGAAATCTGCCGAAATTGGCTCCAATGAAAAATCCATGGCACTTAAAATAAATTTTTACCAAACATTCATATAATGGCTTTTTTTTTTGTATGTTATATATGCACTCTAAGTAGTACATTGGTGAAGAGTGATGCAATCAAGATAGCATTTGCTTCCCATTTACATTAATATTATGTACGTTAGCAATGAATTTGAAAACGTATTTAACACTCTGATTTACCACATTCTTGTGTAACGGTTGGGGGAGTTCACCTAGCCAGCCACTTAGCCACTCCATCATGGTAGATGGTGGAATTAGACATCTCTAGGACTGGGCGAACAGGACGTCGTATTATTTTTATTATTTTATTCGCAAAATCACCGTCATTGGTTAAAACTTTTACATTATAAATCTATGTAAATTAGGGTGTGGCCTGCAGAAGAACTAATTGATAGCAACAATATTGTTCGCTTATATATG